GCATTGAGAACTGGGAGATTCGGTGCATGTAACGTACTGTACTTTAATAACCTTACTCTCATGCTTTTCTTTCTTGTGTTAATAAACCTTTAGATATAGATTCTAAAGGATTGGCCCAGCGTGATTTGGGGGTAAGGTCCAGAGGGTAAATTGACCAGGGATCTGTGGCTGGTTTCTTGGAACCGGACAGGACTTGTTCGGGGTAGGTGGGATTGGGTGCTAGGACCCCCCACCTGTTTATAGGCCCGGGGCCATCTGGGGCACGGATATTGCTGGGGTGTCGGAGGGGTTTTGCTCGGGAGGCTTCAGGCAGGCTGCTGAAGCGCTCTGTGAGACTGGTTTGTGGCCTGTTTGGAGAGGTCGCCAGTCAGGGGGACTGTAAAGAGCCCCGGATTTGAGCAATTCGCCCTGAGCGGATGCCCTAAGCTGTGCCCAGACACGGCCTGGTCCATCACAGAGGCAGAACATTAGAATTCTATTAATTCCTGACCCGATAACTCCTGCACTACGAGCAAGTACAAGGAAGTTACAAGCTTTCTTTCCTGCCATATAAGAGACACATTGGCTGAGCACAGGGAAGTTGACAACTGGAAATTATATTTTCCTTTACTCTGGACATTCAAGTGGGCAAATAAATCAGAGATAGGGTGGCTAGAACAGAAAACAAAAGCACAATTACTTCAATGAACAGCTGGAAACCAATGTCTGTACAGACTGTCATAGTAAGAATTATTACTACTGCTAACAATAAAATATGCAGAATTGTGAAGTGCTGTTATGCAGCAAAAGAGGAAGAGGAGGATGTGTTTTATCAACAGCTCAATATTAATGTAGATGAGATTAATTTGATAATGGGAGACATGAATACAAAGGTTGGTAGCACACATGGCAAACAAATGAATAGTGCTAGACCACATGGCAACAATACAGGAAATTGTGAATTTCATTGCAAGTTCTTAACCTTTCCCCATTACAATCTCATTATTGGTGGTATTTCTTTTCCTCACAAAGACATACATTAGGTTACATGGAACTCACCAGAGTGTCAAACCAAAAACCAGACTTTTATCAGCAAAAAAGCATCAACTGTCAATTTTGCATGTCAGATTTCACAGAAATGCTGAGTGTAGCAGTGATGATGAGTTACTAATGGCTAAGATTAAATTCAAGTAAAAGAAAAAGTGCAAATGGAGCCAAATTTGATCTTGACAAATTAAAGGGTAGCTCTCTGGAGAGAAACATACAACGTGATGCTTGAAAGATGTTTCAGAACATTAATTGGTAATAATAAAGAAATCTCACTGCAGATTAGACAGGAAATATACAAGGAAGCAATACAAAGCACAGCAGAATTGCTGGAAGGCATAAGCTAACAAAGAAAATATTGAACAAGCAACAAAACAAGAAAATTATAGGAAAAGTGTAACCAAGCCAGGACTTCAGGAAAAGCAGAAGTAAAAGCTTTATGTAAAGAGGTGAAGAGATGACAAATATTGGACAAGAAAAAGTTTTGGAAAGAGGCTCAGTAACTAGAGATGGCATCAAGAAAACAAGATATGAAAACAATATACAAAAAAGGGTAAGTTGTGTGGGAATGTTATCAGGTGAACAATGCAAGCACTAAAATAAGCTACCAGTGAACTGACAAGTACTCAAGTAATGCTGGAAGTATAGAAGGAACATTCTGACATAGTACTGAGCACTGCTGATCATTGAATTGCAAGCATTCCAGATGAAAAGGGCAGCTTGTAAAACAGAACACATATCAGCACCATCAACCAATACCATCACAAAATGCTGACTTGTGTCTGTGGCAGAAGGGTACAGGGAAGGCCACATAGAGGGGCACGAGGGGGCATCACATTTAAGAATTAAAAGTTTGGCAGGAGCATTGCAGGGGGAGAGGCAGAAAACCTCCTAAGTGCTACTATGAGTAACCTGCGCAACAGAAGACAATATAGAAAGAACAGTGAAACATTTAAAAAGAAGAACAGACAGTATAACAGCTGACCTGCTAAAA